GGACCGAGGGTGAGTGGAGGAACTGGAGGCTGCTATGACCTTAAGTTCCTGGCGCCTCTCTGGGTTCCCAACCACTTCGATCCTGGAAGAGTGAAGGTGGAGCGGGCAGAGGGCTGGGAGGCGCCCAGGGACACAGATGCTCACGCCCTGGGCCTCCCTGAGCAGGAGCCAGGACCCCGAAACGCCCCGTCCCCGTCTGATGGGCCAGGAGGCAGAGCCGTGGCCGGTGCATGAGGAGGTTCCACAAGGCGTGCCCCCAGGTGAGACGATCAGCACCTGAATTCCTGGAGGATGTCGTTGGGAGACACTGTCCTATCGCAGCGTTAGGCCGGTTCGGCGTGGGGTGGAGGCTGGGTGCCTGGGCTGAAAGGCGTCCTGCCAGCACGGAGCGGGGGCGCGTGTGCTTCTCACTCAGCAGGTGTATGGACCCCTGTGGTTGGCGGGTGCCGTGGGGGGGCCGTCGGGCTCCTGTGGTCCTGGTTAGACAGACAGACGCTCACGCACAGTCATTCATCCATTCCCTGGGCGACGGGTGTTTCAGCGGTTTCCAACTTCTGGAGCTGCTGCATTTCTTTTTTCTTTCTTTCTTTTTTTAAATATATTTTATTGATTTTTTTACAGAGAGGAAGGGAGAGGGATAGAGAGTTAGAAACATCGATGAGAGAGAAACATCGATCAGCTGCCTCCTGCACACCCCCTACTGGGGATGTGCCCGCAACCAAGGTACATGCCCTTGACCGGAATCGAACCCGGGACCCTTCAGTCCGCAGGCCGACGCTCTATCCACTGAGCCAAACCGGTGAGGGCTCTTTTTTCTTTTTCTTCTTTTTTTAAAATATACATTTATTTTATTGACTTCAGAGAGAGGAAGGGAGAGGGAGAGATAGAAACATCAATGAGGAGGATCATTGATTGGCTGCCTCCTGCACACCCCTACTGGGGGTCGAACCCACAACTGGGCATGTGCCCTGACCGGGAATCACGCCGTGACCTCCTGGTTCATGGGCCAATGCTCAACCACTGAGCCACACTGGCCTAGCTTATGCCTTTCTTTACATCTTGGGGGGGGGGGAGGTGGTGCCACAGCGAGGGGCCTCCAAGAAGAGGCTAGCTCTGTCCGCGGGAGGGCTGCGTGTTCCTTCCCAGCGGCAGCTTTTTTGCCGCCGCCACCTGGCCTGGTGGCTCCTGTCGGCCTGTGCCCGACCACTGTTCTTCTTCCAGGACTGGGCGTCTGTGGACATGTCCCCTGAAGGGTCACTCGCTCCTCAGCATCTTCTCTGCCCCAATTTCCTGCGCCCCCCTGGCACCTCCATCTGTGCCTTTCGTACCAACTCCCCTCCCTCTTCTGTTCCTTCTCTGGTTGGGAAACCATACGGTTAAATGGTTTCATCCACTGGAGTCTCAAACCTTTTGAAACTGTCGGTTTAATTGTTCCATCCACAGAGTCACTGATGAACTTCTCCTCCCAGAACAGGGGTTGAGGGACAATTGCATGTTTGTTTGTTTTCAGACTTGGATGCTGGGTTGACAACGGAACTGTCAGCTGCAAAGCAAGACGCCTCTGAGGAGCTATCCCGCCTTGTCCTGGTAGAAGGGTTCCCGGGGGACGGTCTGGGGAGGGATCAGGGTGAAGACGAAGACGCCGCGGGGCTCCGGGAACACAGCCGTGAGAGCCTGCATGGCCGTGGGGTGCGGGCGGCCTGCACACCCGTGAGGACATCTGTTCAGCGGCACCAGCCCGGGAATGGGTTTGGGGAAAACGTAACTCTGAGCCCTGAGCTCCCAGGTCAAGCCGTGACTCCTGGAAGACCAGACTCTCACAGGTGTGGGTCCCAGGGAAAACGTGAGAACCCGGAGTTCAATGTGCAACAGAAAAGCGATGCAGCAGAGAGACCCTCTAGAGGTCAGAAACGTGGCAGGGCCTTTCGTCACAGCTCCACACTCACCCACCCCCGCCCCACGCAGGCCGGGGAGAGACCGCACGACAGCCACCAACGCGGAGAAGGCTTCCAGAGCGCTCCGCGTCCCAAACGCCAGGGCGTCCCTCCTGGCGAGCGGCCCTGTGAGCGCAGGCGGTGTGAAAGGACCTGCAACCACACGGCCCCACTGATCCAGCCTCAGAGAGGTCACACCGGCGAGAAGCCCTACGCACGCAGCCAGCGTGGGAAGGCTTTCGGCCAGAGCCCACCCCTGAGTCAGCAGCGGAGGATCCACAGAGGGGAGAAGCCCTACAGGTGCAAGGAGTGTGGGAAAAGCTTCACCCTCAGCTCCTCACTCAGAAAGCACAAGTGGACACACACGGAAGAGAAGCCCTACGAGTGCAGTCAGTGTGGCAAGGCCTTCCGGCAGAGCACACACCTCCGTCAACATCAGAAGATCCACACCGGGGAGAAGCCCTATAAGTGTGACGGGTGTGGCAGGGCCTTCAGACACAGCTCATCCCTAACCAAACACCAGCTAATCCACACCGGGGAGAAGCCCTATAAGTGTGACGGGTGTGGCAGGGCCTTTCAGACACAGCTCATCCCTAACCAAACACCAGCTAATCCACACCGGGGAGAAGCCCTATGAGTGTAATACATGTGGCAGAGCCTTTAGCCAGCTCGCTCCACTCATTCAGCATCAGAGGATCCACACGGGGGGGAAGCCCTATGAGTGTGACGGGTGTGGCAGGGCCTTCACCCACAACTCATCCCTCACCAAACACCAGCTAATCCACACCGGGGAGAAGCCCTATGAGTGCAGTGACTGTGGCAGGGCCTTCACCCACAGCTCATCTCTAACCCAGCACCAGCTAATCCACACTGGAGAGAAGCCCTATGAGTGTGACGGGTGTGGCAGGGCCTTCAGACACAGCTCATCCCTAACCAAACACCAGCTAATCCACACCGGGGAGAAGCCCTATAAGTGTGACGGGTGTGGCAGGGCCTTCAGACACAGCTCATCTCTAACCCAGCACCAGCGAATCCACACTGGGGAGAAGCCCTATGAGTGCAGTGACTGCGGCAGGGCCTTCACCCACAGCTCATCTCTAACCCAGCACCAGCTAATCCACACCGGGGAGAAGCCCTATGAGTGTAATGCATGTGGCAGAGCCTTTAGCCAGCTCGCTCCACTCATTCAGCATCAGAGGATCCACACGGGGGGGAAGCCCTATGAGTGTCATGAGTGTGGCAGAGCCTTCAGTCATAGCTCCCTCCTCACAGAACACCAGAGGGCCCACACCAAAGAAAAACCCTACACGTGCAACGAATGTGGGAAGTCCTTCAGTCGCAGCTCATCCCTCAGCCAGCACGCGAGGACACACACCGGGGAGAAGCCATATGAATGCCCAGATTGTGGGAAATCCTTCAGGCAGAGCTCCCACCTCACTCGGCACCGGAGAATCCACACGGGAGAAAAGCCATACGAGTGCAAGGACTGTGGGAAGTCCTACACAGACAGCTCCTCCCTGACCAGGCACCAGAGAACTCATACTGGGTCGAGGCACCTACAGGAACTGGGCCATAGGAAGCCTTAAGCCATTGTTCATCCCTTCCTGGACTTGAGCCCGTTTCGTCTCAGGAGCAATGGGACATACACAGGCCTTCACACACGGGTCACTCCTCAGGTCATCCTAACAGCAGGGAAATGTGGAGGTGACCGATGCGGAGGACCTGCGGCCATGAGTACCCACTAACATTACAGAAGAGAGAAGTGGGAAATGTCGTGAGTTTGGACGTGACTTAGGTCCACACGTTCACAAGGTTCCAACTGGTGAAAACCCAACAAGTGCCTTTCATACGTAAGA